TATCGGGGTTATACGTGTCAACTAAATTCCAAAGCTCTAAGGCTTTATTATAGATACTCCTACAGTTAACCTGCAGCACCACTAGCGACTTGCCTTCAACCTTATATGCTGCTACCGTAGTTAAAGTTTCAGCCCCTGTGTTAGCTTCAGTTTCCCTACTCACCAATTTACTCGTCTCTGTTCCCCTTACTTCATGCAAAACCTTCTGTTCTCCAGTTGATGAATGCCGCGTTTCTCTGGTTGTCCTCGTTCTGTGAGTACCATCCACCAAACCGTGTCACGTCTTCCTTCGTGCTGCTCCTCCACCATCAAGTCCACTAACTCTAGCGTACAGTTGTTCAAATCGTCTCCTTCCTCGTCCATTCAGATGCAGTCCATCCCCAGCAAAATCCCCTTCCTGTATCCAGCTGTTGGGATCAACAAATGTAATTAAAAGGACGTTTGCAACCCAGTCGAATCTATCATTAAGAGCACCAATACGCCGCCATGACACTTCTCTACGCCTTAGCACTCCACTCAGGACAAGCTTGCAGTTCCGACATTTATTCTTTACTGTAGTCACCAGCGCATACACCTCTCCCATTACAAAGTCCAAATTTCTCGTTGATCTTAAGTCATTCGTACCTACGTGAACAATAACAGTTTCTGGACTGTGCAACTGATCCTTTCTAATCCCCGGAAAACACTCCACCGTCATATATGTGTGCTCTACTCCAACATTGCGCACCATTGAGTCGCCCAGCACCATGCACCCACGCTCATTCTCCTCTATTCCCCTCCGATCTTCGTTAGCGTCAATGTATATAACGTTAGAACAAGGTCACATTCCCGTAATCTGAAAATGAATGGTAATGTGGCTGTAACTTGCACGCTCCGAATATCACGGGGGGACGTAGAACTTCGAAACCTCAAATTTCATATAATTTAATTGTACTCCAGTTTTATCTGCAATCGATATATGAATTAAATGCTCAGATAAAATGCTATTGCGTCATTATATTTAGTACCTAGGACTGCTGGGCGTCCTTTAAAAAAATATGTGTCAAACTGCGTTAAGGACTTTATTTCGTAAATAATGGCTAAAGTTCCCAATCCTTATAAAGGTAATAAGCCGACAAACGTGTAAGGGTCGCTCACGGTCACTATCTCAAAAATCTGGCTGGAGGTACTGAAGAAAACTATGAAAGCTCAGTCGTGAGAAGTATTGTAAGTCTCCGAACCTTTATCCTTCGAATGCAATGGAACAAAGGACTTCAACGCGACGTGCGGCGCCTTGTTGAAAGTCATCCTTCGTCATGACGCCAGTCACATTTGTACAGAGTGGTCGGAAAATTATGCAACCGTATCAAAATTTTTATTAATGTTTGCAATTCGGTTCAGTTCAACTGGATTATTAAGCACTTAATATCACTCTGACTACTCATGAGCCAACGAAGGTCACGTGATGTTCTAACCTGCTCGCGCCAGTTCATTTGTCTTGCAACAGTCGAAGTGCGAGGTTGTCTTTTTCACAAGAGGAACATCGAGCATTGGAAAAAGTTAACGAATGCTGTGGACATTCCAACTTTAAAATATATTTTTGTTTTTTCCTCATTGCAATATAGTCAACATGTGTCAGGAATTGATTGAGGGTATCTTCGATATGTCTGCTTCGGGTAACTGTACTCGCAAAAAAACATTGTTTTGAAGAAATCCGTTTAGTGTTGCATTTCCGTGATTATGTTAAAGTTGGTTATTGAAAATTTAGTTCGCTTCATTTGTTGCACGTTCATAAAATGTCTGTCTGTAACAAAACAAAGGGGTTCCCCGAGAGGGCAGATCTTGTATTTGTAATGAGTGATCCAGGGTGTTGTTATTTAATCGATAAGGCTCCCTTCACACGCGGTTGAGGTACGCTTTGCTTTGAGGTGGTGTCGCGCACAGCACAGGATTAGCGGTCACTGCCCACAGCGTAGGAAATCACTTTGCCGCTGGCCACGCCGCTTTATTCACCAGCGACACTCAAACGAACTGCGGACAGCGTCTCAAAACAACCACTTCGTAATTAAACGGGTGATGCAGAGAGTTTTCAGTGACGCCCTGATGCAGAAGGAAAGTTTGGTAACAGCCTCATAACCCATTTCCCCATGGATTACACACGATATTTCAGAAAGCCCCGTCTCTTTCCTGATCGAAAATAGGGTATAAACCAACGAACTAAGTTGCATTTCATCCGATATGTCAGCGCACTCATTATTTGTGGATCCATTTTTATCCGGGTACAGTCTGATTAATTTTTAAAGGATTACTTTACATGCGAAACTAGGCCAAATTTTGTTAATAAGTTCCTAGACACATTTGAATGACAGTAGAAACTAGTTGCACTTCTGTGATGTCAGAACATGCATCAGCTTGGCTAATCGTAGGTCTTCATTTGTTGCTTTTCGAAAGATTTTGGAGGCTCAACACACCGCACTTATTAACCAAGGATTTAACGGCTACGATTCATAAATTTTGTATTTTCGGGCCTATGTCACTAAGTACACACCCTAGCAGAAACAAAACGCAATACCAGTTACGTCTGTGTATTTAGTAAATGTACGTCATTTCAACAGAATTTACGCATAAAGATTTTGGTATTCTGGTTTGTGACGTCGCGTGGATTTGTAGGGAGTCTAGATACCAACGTTTCGAGGGAATATACTGTCTCCATTTTCAGGGCGGGAACCTGCTTACTAGTCGGCATGGCGTCAAAATAAATAATATCTACATCTCCATAGCCGTAAGAGACTCAGATATCACATAATGTTTTCATTTTTCGCGCTGATTTATAGAAAGTCACCAATGTAACAAGATATTTATTAAAAATCGAAGGCGTTGTTCAAACTCTCAAAATCGACCCAAACTCTAGCTGATAATCCGATCCGTTATTGTTGCACACACGTATTACGAAATAGATGATAAATTTAATGTACTAATTAACGAGGAATATCACTGTTAATTTAAGGGATAACCAGGGACTATTCTACTTTTAATGCACGTGCACCGTGACTATAAATTCAGTTTCTGCTGCACGTGCAATCTGCAGGAACACCGATCTTCAAAAAATGCTTTCTTAATTTTAGATTTCTTATAACTCTATACATTCTCTGCACTTAGAGAATTAGCGAATCTAGTGCAAGTGTTTAAAATGGCCACCGTCAGCGTCGTGGCGCAGCTGACAGGGGTGTGAAACTGACTGACAAGTGGCCACCAAAGTTGCTGCTGTAAAGTAAAGTTTGTCCCGCTACGTGCCATACAGGCGCTTGGGGTGAGAAGATATATAGCTCCTCTCTTTCTTGACCTAGGCACTAGATGGGGAGAGTGGTCAGCATCACGCCGCGGCTGGCTTTATCCCCCGGGAAAGGACCCCGGTACCCATTGTAGAGGAGGCTGGGTGGGCCCCAGAGCCGGTCTGGACGCAGAGGCTAGAGGAAAAATCCTCTGCCCCCGTCGGGGATCGAACCCCGGCCGTCCAGCCCGTAGCTAGTCTTTATACTGACTGAGCCATCCCGGCTCATAAAAGTTACTGCTGTGGAAACATCTTTTTGGGACACTCTGTATAGACATAGGAGATTTCGAGAAGTTTGCTTCGATTTAAAAGCGTCATAATAGTTGCACGTGCGTAAAACATTTTTGAGTGTATCAACCAATATTAATTCTCGTGTTTGGAGTCGCATGAAATACGTAATGCTCATCTACTGCATTTGGGAAGTATTGGTTCTAACTTGAACGTAAGACAGATATCCGTGCTTAAAACTGTTTCTTACGCAACTACGGGCGACAGCAATCTGAGATAAGCCACATGATTTCACATGAATCATTTACATTTATTTATAAAGTGGCGTTGTATTAATTAGCAGGTAAATAAATTTTAGAAACAGCAAAATATATCAGAATTAAAATGGTGTTTTATCGGGCTACATCAGGTTTCTTTTGTGTGACAAAGAATTACTTGAGTTTTCTCCTAAAAACTACAGTTGTCAGTGTTTGTCAATCGAATCTCGCAAATTTGTTCGACTGCATTCAACTGGATATCCGCTTCTTCCACTGCTCTGTTAGCAGAAGCGCCGTGCGGTTATACCACTTCTCCGGCTTCAGTTCATTGCACGTAGTTGAAATAGAGCTTGCAGGCGCTGCTCAACATGATACGACATAGTACTCGCTGTTTTGTGTGATAACAGAACGGACTTGAATTCCTTCATTCCGTTACACGAGTTTGCTAACGGGGGTATTGCACGCAGCGAAAACTAGTTGTAGAGTTTTACATACGCACGTATGTGGGAGTCTGGGCTGAATTTAAACGGCTCAGAATAGGTTGCAGTGGCGGGTTCCTTCGAATACAGTAATGAACCTTATTCTGTATTTTCCAAAGTATTCGTCCTGTACATAAATATAATTTGTTTCTATGTAACATCATATTTGATGTCATGAAGTGTATATATTTCAAAGGATTTTCTACAGAGTATATAATATCATGCATGCAAAATAATTGTTTAAACTTCAAAGTACACTTAGTGCCAAACGCGTTTCGACCACAAGAGGTCATCATCAGTGGCAGACAAATTAATTCATATTAAATCATACAATTCATAGGACGATGGTTAGTTACAAAGCAAAAAGTGTTGCACTTTACAAAACCATACTGGACGTTTACCAACAACGGAAATCATTCCAGTGGACATAAAGCTAAATAACTCAATTTAGATAATACACCAACTCTTGTTCGATTAACGCCCAGTGTGGTTTTGTAAAGTGCAACCTTCTATACTTTGTAACTAACCATCATGGAGGTATAGCTCCTCTCTTCCTTGACCCCGGCACTAGATGGGGGTGAGTGGTCAGCATCACGCCCCGGCCGGCTTTACCCCCGGGAAAGGACCCCGGTACCCATTGTAGAGGAGGCTGGGTGGGCCCCAGAGCCGGTCTGGACGCAGAGGCTAGAGGAAAAATCCTCTGCCCCCGTCGGGGATCGAACCCCGGCCGTCCAGCCCGTAGCTAGTCACTATACTGACTGAGCTATCCCGGCTCATATACAGCCACAGTAGAACACAAATAAAAGGACACGTCCCCAGGCAAGCAATCAGAGAAACTGAGCAAACAAATGGAAAATGAAATGTTAAGTAAAGTTACCAGTATTCAATTTAACTATACTTTGTCAGTGATATTTTAATTTCCCGTACTGACTGTATAAAAGATCTTAGTGTCTTGTTAGACACTAAGCTATATTTTCACTGCCATGTAAATTGTGTTCATTCCCAGGCACTAAGGACCTCAGGGCTTATTCGTTTTATTACTTATAATTTTCTCTCTTTAGACAGCCTTGTTGTTTTATATAATGCTTTAATTAGGTCAAAGCTTGAGTGTGCCTCGGTCGTGTGGAATAATCTTACACAGACAGATTCTAATAAATTAGAAAATATTCAAAGAAAATTTGCCACTTTGTGCAATTATCGATTTTTTCAGTTTAATATCCCATGCAAATATGAATTGATTTTATCTACTTTAGAACACTTTATTCCAGACGACGACATCTCGATGCGTTATTTCTTGTTAATGTCTTTAAGGGTAAAATAAATTGCCATTCCATTATGGACGCTGTTGGTTTACGTGTGCCGGCGAGGCAAATAAGAGAATTTTCTACTTTTAGTGTGAGCAGTGCGCTAAGACAAAGTCCTTCAGCCAGGTGCGTCATCGCTGCAAATGACGTATGTAAATCTTTGGACGTATTTAGCATAAACATTGTCTCCCTTGAGGGTACATTCTCAATAAGGGAAAAGATTTAGATAGATGTCCTGGTAGATGATCTAGCTTCGTTATCTGTTTTTTGTATTTCTTTAACGTTTTACAATTATTTGAGTGTTCCCTAGGTGGATTATTGGCTTTTATTTATATTTCTTCATTTATTTTGCTTTGTGTTTAATATTGTTTCTTTTTTGGGCTTGCCTGTATTGGCTTTATATTTAATACTGTACATGTATAAGTTTAGTTAATCTGTTTGTGTAATATTTTTCATTATTATTTACTATTATTGTATGTATTATCAGTGTTTGCCTGTTATTGGCTTCTTGCTGTTGGCAGACACTTAAATAAATGAATTGAATTGATATCCTTTTGGTTCCCTGTTGGAACACCTTCTGTTTACATGCGGCTTATTTTTCACAAACCATCATAACAACCTCAAAAAAATGGAACAACTGAAATATAAGCCCGCCATTGGCATGATACCAGATTTCATTCACGAAATGAAGTATATATTTTTAAATAAACATTAAGATTTTTAAGAAAAAACGTATTGTATCGAAACGTGCAATAAAGTGATAAGGTATAATTTACAT